AGCTGAAGCTAAAGACGGTCTACCCCTAACAATGGCTAGAAGCAAATCCCTGTGATAACCAATTTCTGCTGCTCTCAACCTCTTCATGAGCATTAGTAGTCTGTCTGAATTGCCTCTCAAATTTCTCTTTGCATCTGGCATCAATCCATTACAGGGGTCTGTGCAAACTTTAACAAGAACATCATGGGCCAACTCATTCACAATCCCACCATCCTCTCTTGCTGAAATGCTGGCTAGCTGCTCTAGCGTCGCACTTCCAAAAAGAACACTCCTTAGACCAGGAGAAATCAATGATTCTTCAACAAGGATCTTATCCTTTAACGTAGACAAGACAGAAGCCACAGTGTCTTCATCGTCTTTCCCAAGGCCCCGCAGGACTTTCGAATACATTTCTTTCTGCTGCAAAACTGATCTTAGCAATCCAGGCTTCCCAACTTCAAGGAATGATATTGCAAACCCAACAAAGGCCTTCCTTGTTGAATGTTTCTTAACCTTTTCAGTCCCTCGCGTTTTATACTCTGCTAGTTTTGCAAAACTCTTAAAATCAAACTTCTTAGCTATTTCTGATGCCATGCCTGGACCACGTCTAACAATCGAAGCTAACAATGAAAGTGCAGCAGACTGTTGTTTTCCCTCTTTTCTGTTCAATTCTTTGTAAATGTCATCCAGTTTATCTTCAATAAGTAACCTACCAAACTGGTCTATAGCTCTTCCTATATCAGTTGATCTATCTTTTCCATCTGGATGACTCAAAATCGTCTGGATAAGCGAGAATATGTAGGACAGTCCTTGTTTTTCATGTCGAAGCTTCCATGCCTCCAGAAGCTCAGCAAAGTTGGGTGAGCTCTGGAAATAAAGACGCAACAAATCGCCACCAGTTTCTCCCTTGAGTAACTTAACAAATTCTTTTGCAGCATCAGAACATAGCTTAATCTCATGTAAGCAAATCTTATGCAACAATTCTCTAAGTTTAGCTTCGTGGGATGGTCTGAAAGCCATCACTGGGATATTTTCCACCTCAACATCTCTATTCCCTCCGTCCACCATCATTCCTGATATATCAAACAAATTATTCAATCAGAGAGTAAAAACTACTTCTCCACCAGCCCACACTGTTCAAGAGAATTAAAGCTACTCAAAGACAAAAACTTTACAGGGAAATACAAACAAGAGATACAAGTCTTCAATATAATTGACTCAAAGATCCCAACAAGTAACAGTTTTTACTACTTTTCCGCAATTTCCAATGGTTAGTTTTTTTTTTTTTGGTTGGAAAAAATCAAACAGATATTGCTAAACGAGTCTGCACATGTCAAGCTCTTATCGTACCTTGATCTTCCAAGTCTGATATTGATTCCGCCATTAAAAGAACACTACAGAGAGTTCTTCTCTCTTCCCGGGGTTTTAGGGTTTAACAGGACAAAACATTTCGGCGACGCTGAGATGTTTTGAAATTAGGCATCTCAATCCCAAACCGATCCCGATCGGTCCGAATCGATTAGACTTTACTTAACCGGGTTGTTCCAGTGCTCTTATAATGGGCCGAGCCCAAGCCTTTTTTATTGGGCCATGAGAGGTTCATATCACAAGCAACTTTTGACTATAAAAAGGAAACAGAGACAGGAAATCTTTCTCTCCCTCTTTTGCCCTTTCGTCCTCGAGCTCATCCCTTAAATTGCATCGGCGACATTCGTCCCTTCTGCTAGGTTATCGTCGTCATGATGCAGCAGCCACCTCCAGCTTCTAACGGTTCTGCCGCTGGGTCAGGTCAGATTCCTTCTGACCAACAAGCTTATCACCAGCAGCAGCAGTCGTGGATGATGCAGCACCAGCAGCAACAGCAAGGTCAGCCGCCTGCAGGATGGAATCAGCAGTCTGCACCGTCTCCTGGTCAACCTCAGCAGCAGCAATATGGTGGTGGTGGTGGATCTCAGAATCCAGGATCAGCTGGTGAGATCCGGTCGCTGTGGATCGGTGACTTGCAGCCATGGATGGAGGAGAACTATCTCATGAACATCTTTTCTCTTACTGGCGATGTAATTTTTAAAATCCTGTTAATTCGTTGCTCCGAGTTTTTGTTTTAATCTCTTGTTTTTCTGTTAAATGTATTGAAAGTTTCATCCTTTATGGTTGCAGGCTACATCAGCTAAAGTTATCCGCAATAAACAGAGCGGATATTCAGAAGGTTATGGGTTTATTGAGTTTGTGAACCATGCTACAGCTGAGAGGATTTTACAGGCTTACAATGGTACTACAATGCCCAGCAGTGACCAGGCCTTCAGGTTGAACTGGGCTCAGCTTGGAGCTGGAGAGAGACGCCAGGCTGAAGGGCCTGAGCACACGGTTTTTGTTGGAGACTTGGCGCCTGATGTTACCGACCACATGCTTACTGAAACGTTTAAGGCTGTGTATTCCTCTGTCAAGGGAGCTAAAGTTGTGACAGATAGGACTACTGGACGGTCCAAAGGATATGGATTTGTCAGGTTTGGGGATGAAAGTGAGCAGATTCGTGCCATGACTGAAATGAATGGTCAATACTGCTCATCAAGGCCTATGCGTACTGGTCCAGCTGCCAACAAGAAGCCTCTTACAATGCAACCAGGTATGTTTTGATATTAAGGAGCCTGATATCTGATCACTTATGAATATGTTTAGTGGTGATATGACTCACATTGTCCTTAACTTTCTATGCTAGTTGATTGTCTTTTCTTTGGGTTATTCTTTACCACTATCTTTCTGGTTAGTGAAGCTTTTTCTGTTAGTTGGTGCTCTAAGATTAAGAGAATGTGTCTACCCTTTTCTTCCGCTTCTTGCCTTTCAGCTCTTCAAAGAATTTAATATCGCAAAACATCCTAAAACTTATAAGAAAAAACTCATGTTGTCTTAAAGCAGGAGAACAAGGGGCTCTCTTTGGGGGGGGCCTGGAACTGACTTCAGCTGAAAATGATTCCACCTTATTGCGTGGCCTCATTTAGGTCAGTTGGTTATGTTTTCAGAAGAAGTTAATTACAAAGCTTTTACTCCATTCGCAAATTATTTTCCAGTTCCTTACTTATCAAGCATAAGTCTTTCCTTTTAATTTTAAGCCCTACCTTTAAGTTAATTCTTTTCATGTTACAGAGTTCATTACTCCATTTGCTTTTTATTCCAGTTTGAATCCTTAAAGAGTGTTTTGTTATCTTTTTCATACCTCTCAATTCATCTTTTTCCAGTAAATAGTGCTGCAATTTTTTTCCTTCTTTCAGTTACATTGCGCCTCTAAATTTATACTTGCAACCCTTTTTAGTGTTACTTTTCTTCTTTCCTGAAAAGTTGATTACAATGGTAAGGCAGTCAGACTTTCGCAGGAATTTAGGTTACTTGATACCCTAGAGAATTTTAGTCCCATTCTCTAATTTCTCAAAGTTGGATCGTGCAGGCACTTTCCCCTAATACATCTTTAATGATTTTTGTATCAATTATCAACTAATTTCAGAATCACTCTTCTAGTTGTATCATATATATGTCATTTGCTTATATGCTGATATTTTTGGGTCTTGATTTGGATAAGTTCTGCAACTGCTATTGTTGTGTTACTTGTGTATGTGTGTTTGCTTTAGTGTCTGTTTCCTTGCACTGTCAGCTGGATTATAAGTAAATAGATGTTTGAGTTTTTTTTCCTTACTGTCTCTTGACTGCTTTCTTGCAGCTTCATATCAGAACACTCAAGGAAACCAAGGAGAAAGTGATCCAACTAACACAACAGTGAGTACTTTGTTTTGGTTTCCCTAAGCCTTTTTTTTTTGACATCGCCTAAGGCTTTTCTATGTGGGGTATATTGTTGAATTTAAGCATTATGTTTCCTATTCCAGATTTTTGTTGGAGCTTTGGATCAAAGTGTAATAGAAGATGATTTGAAGTCAGTTTTTGGTCAATTTGGTGAACTAGTTCATGTGAAAATACCAGCAGGAAAACGTTGCGGATTTGTTCAATACGCCAATAGGTAGTGTGAATTTGGAGACGAACTTCATCATATTTTGAGAATGGTTTTTCACATATTTTATATGTCTGTGTGCTTCAGGGCATGTGCAGAGCAAGCCCTCTCCTTGTTGAACGGAACACAACTGGGTGGACAAAGCATTCGTCTTTCATGGGGTCGCAGTCCTTCCAACAAGCAGGTTTGTATCTGTTAGACAAGGCACCAAGCTTACTATGCTCTCAGATACGTTATGTGATCTGATGACTTGATCCATGGATTTCACAGACTCAACCTGATCAAGCCCAGTATGGTGGTGGTGGTGGTGGAGGATACTATGGGTATCCTCCTCAGGGATATGAAGCATACGGATATGCACCTCCTCCTCAGGACCCTAACGCCTACTACGGTGGTTATGCTGGGGGCGGCTATGGAAACTACCAGCAGCCTGGTGGCTACCAGCAGCAACAGCAGGTAATTCTTTGGTTTTTATCTGAAAATCTTCAAATGAAAAGTATCCATGACATGCTAAATGTTATTTGCGAGCTTACTGATTCTTGTTTATCCGAATTTGCAGTGAAGCATGATGTGTAAGTCGTGATCGACCTGAAGTTATAGAAAGCTGTCACCGTTTGAAAATGGTGAATGAATGAATTATTGAAGTGGATGTGTATTAGCTCTTCTCGTCTCAGATTCTCTCTTGAACTCTTTTTTCTTTTGGATTATTTTTTCGTTCGCGTGGCTATTGTTGAGTGTCCTTGCAAGTCATAACAAGAGGCTTAACCAAAGTGCTTTTTGTCATTTGACTTGACCATTATGTTTTCTTCCTACTCTTGCTGTAACATTTCTTATTGTATCACCACCCTTTGACTACTTTTAACACTCAAATTATTCAGTACTACTAGCTACTACCCTCATAAATTTTCAATAATACTCATTTGGTGATTCTATTTATAATTTTACAATGATAATTGATTTTAGTAATTGTGTGTGTTTGCTTTAAGCTTTAAACTGTAAATATAATATTTTTAGTGCTAAACGTAACAGTTTGTATTGAGAGCAATGGAGTTTTTAGTCTCAAGTCTATTGTCAAAGACTGGAAAAATCGACGTGGGCCGTGTTATACCAAATAAGGGCCCATCAAGCCTCTGGAGAAGAAAAAAAAGAGAGGAGAGATTTGCTGTTACCGGTTCCCTCGTATTTCTAGATCTGTTCTTTCATTTTCTTCACCTTTTAATTTTTTTTTTTCTAAGTAGGATGATATAAATTTAGCTCCGAATAGACCGTGATTTGATAGAAACTTCTAGAGATTTGAATTCTTTTCAGAGAAAATCGAACATTGAAAGGTCGTCAAAAAAAGGATGGGAAACGCAAGGAAAGTGGAAGACGACGACAACAACAACTCTTCATCATCATCATCATCGCTGTTAATAGCAGCAACCATGTGCATAATCGGATTGCAAGTTCATGTTCACGTCAAGGATGGTTCCGTCTTTTCTGGGATTTTCTTCACCGCTTCCGTCGACAACGGCTTTGGTAAATCTTTCATTCAGTTTCTGTTTCGTCGATCATTATGTTTCGAATTGATTTCATATGTTTTGCGTGATTATGTTTTCCTATCGGAATGTGTTACCTGTTAGAGATCTGAATGGAATCTTTTACTATTGAATCCTCCTAGGTTTTGTTAATTTCAATTCAAATAGACAGTTTAAAACAGATCAAGGACATGTACATTTTTTGTATAGTTTCTTAATATGTCTGTGTATTTATCGGTGTTATTTCATATTATTATGTGATACAGGCATTGTTTTGAAGAATGCAAGAATTACTAAGAAGGGGACAAGTAAATCCAATGTAGCAAGCGGGACTGTGGTCGATACACTTGTTATTCTGTCTTCCAATATTGTTCAAATTGTTGCGGAAGTGCGTTCTTTTGTCCGTAATTTACTTACTTCTCTCTTAGAGGTTCATTTGTAACAATCTGTGTGACATGCTTCTGGATTTGTTTTCATAGGGAGTCTCGCTTCCATCGAATGTTAGAACATGCAATAATGAGGTCGGATCAGCCACAGAAACATTACCTTCTGAGCCTCGTTTATGTGCTGCAAATGTTTCCACTCAAGGAAGGGGATATAATCATAAGAGGTAAATTACTTTTAGAAATTTCTGAAACAGAAACTAAACTACTGGTGAAGGGGTTATGGGTTTGAAAGCACCAGATGATAATTGGGATAATCTCTTAAACTTCCGAAAACAGGATTACTTACAATTTATCTGAAAAAATGAAGTAAATATGTTAACAGAATCCTGATTTCCATATTGATATTTTCATTCTGTTACCAATTTTCTATTTCCATGTCAATCTTAGAAATCTAGTTTAGCATCTGCATCAAACATATCAATACTGGCACAAAGCACTTACTATCTTGGGCATACCAATTAAACTTTGCCTAGATAAATTTATTCATTTTCTCTGATTCTTGTATGCTTTTGTTGACAGGCAGGCTGGAGCCAAGATTTTGAAGCCTAGTGTACAAATTCCAGACATTCATCAAGAGGATAATGTTAGTCTTGTAGAAAGATAGTTCATTTGTTTATTTCGGTTATTGCTTAGCAGCTGCTTACTTGTTAGTTTCCTATTGCAGATTGATATCCAAAGCTCAAGTTCTAGCTGTGAGTTCATTGTCCCTGGAATTGTTTGTTTTTTTATCTTTGTTATAACTATGGTATACTTGTTTCTTCTTCATTTTGATGGTGAATTGTTTTCTAACATGCTTATCCTCAACTTTCATTCATGTGAAATAACAAACATCCAGTGGATAGCATATCCGAACGAGTTAAACCCATAGAAGAAGATAACTTGATGCCGGAACCTTTTAGTAATGGTTTTCACGATGCTTCTGAAAGGCCCTCTTCAACTGACAATTCATCATCACAAAGTACAACTTTTGATGACACCTCGGAATTGTGTCGGGGTAGAATGGCATCTTCAACTGCATCAGTACCTATCCAGGCCGTCAAAAAGGCTAAGGTAATTCCTAAGTACAGTTTAGATTGATTGTAGGGTCCTAAATATTTGTTATCCATTCTTTCTCTTATATTCAAACTAGGCGTGTTCATTGGAATCGTTGTTATGTTGTCAATCAGTCTGAGTGTTTACATTACTTTATCTGTTACTCAATTACCAAGTTTCTATTTCTAAAACTTCTACCACATACAGGAGTTCAAGCTGAATCCAGAGGCAAAGATTTTTTCTCCGTCTTATACAAAAAGGCTTTCACCGTCTCCAGTTGCTGTGCCTGATGTTGGAAATATTGCTTATATACCAAGCAACACTCCCATGCTACCAGTTCCTGAAGCTATTTACCCAGGAGTTGGAAACAATGCTTATGTGCCGCAAGCACCTCCACCTTCTAAGTTTGTACCATATGGTAATTTGACTGCTGGACATGCTGTCAGCGGATTTCAATTTCCTCAACACGTAAGTATTATCTTTTCAATATCGTCCCTGCCTATCTTACACTCTTCAGGCATGTTATGTCAAAGGGCTTTTATCACCTAGTAATTGAGGATACTGTTTCTCTCACCAGTAAGCGCTTGCATGGTTAACAACCATAAATGTTAGTATTGAAGACCAGATTGATCATTTTGAATTGATATGACTTAGTTTGTAGTGTTAAAATGCTTCCATTTACTTTCTACCACCAACTTTTGTTTCTTTTGCCATCGATGAATCATACTTCCATTTGCAACCCATTTTCTTGCAGATGATTGGACCTACCGTTAACAGGGCACAGCCTCAGAGATTCACCTCTCAGTACCATTCTGTTCAAACTGCACCGATGCTTGTAAATCCAAGTCCTCAGGTTATATTTCATGGAGGTTCCCAAAACTTACTTTTGTTAAAAGCGCAGTTGTAAGAAAATTTGCTCTGTATTGAGCTATATTGGTGTAATTGTTTCTAAAGACTCTTTTTACTGTCCTACAGGTGATGGTTGCAAGATCGGGGCAGCTTGTATATGTCCAATCAGTTTCTCAGGTTAGAACTTGATGTATATAGTTTCTTGATTATTTGTTTCTATTTTAAAATATATGCAATTTGGTGAACCTTTAATGATGTTATATTAATCGAATGTATGTCCTGTATTGCTGAGTGAAAGAAGAAATATTATTACGCAGTCAATTGGTTTAAGTTTGGTCGAAAATCTCCTCTTATTCATATCTTTATAGTCATTTTTAGTAATCGTCTTTCTTATTTTTCCAGGATCTGGTTCAAGGAACACCGCCTCTCTCACCTATGCTCTCTCGTCCTCTACCTACTGCACAACATGTCCAATACCTGAAGCATCACGGTAAATACTTGAGTCTACCTTGATTTGCCTTTTTGGGCCAAACCAAAAGGGTGGGTCGTAACTAGAATGAATTATTCTGTGATGCAGGTGTAGTAGCAGCTGGCCAGCTGCTACCGCTATGTGTCTCCCAACCGTTCACGACTGGTGGACCGCAACCTTATGGCATTCCCACCCAATTCCCGGTTATGGAGCAGCCTCCTTTTCCCACAAATCAGCCAATGACATTTGCAGTTGCTAATGGTTTCTACACAAAGTTTCCATAAACAAAGTCTCATTGTTTTTGGTTTAAATACCTTTATTCTTTACCTCTCCAACCTAATAAGGGTTAAGAAGGTCCTAGTTTTTTCCTATTTTTGGGTTTTGTATTATTTTGTTTTGGGTGTTTTGCTCTGTTTTGGCTTATTATATTGGGGGGGTTTTCATTGGTCTATCGATTTGAATTGGGTAAAAACAGTTGTGGAATGTGAAAACAATATGATTCTTTGGAAAAGTATAGCAGATCACATATTGGTGATCTCAATAAATTGCACTGGAAGAGAAATTACGTCTAAAACAGAGCAAGACTAATCATGTAACAGTTACACGAGAGAGAGAGAGACAAATGAAACATTAGAGAGGGTACATAACCGTAAAAATTTGATTTAGCCCATAAAGCAACGTTAAGTCGGTTTATTATTTTAATTTTGTTTTTGTTTCGGTTTCAGCTGACCAAAAAGTTCTCCGTCCGCAAAATATTCACCGATTCGAATCTCCGGCGATCAGAAATCTCGCGGTGAAATTTGATGGAAGAACAGCTGCCAAAATCGCTCAAGAATCTCGACTTGAATAGGAATCGTGGACCAAAGAAGAAGATTCTTGTTTCAGCTTATCTATCCTCCTCACGTAAGCCTCTCTTTCGACGTTCTTTTCTCGAGCTGGGTTAAAATTGAGAATGGATTTGCGGGTACTGAATTTGGGGATAAGCATGGCTGGTGATGTTTAGGAGTTGGAATTTGACAATGTTTTTACTGGTTTGCTTCAATCGCAGGAATAATGTCTCCACTGAAATCAAAACCTCCATCTCTTGTGAGCTTATGTCTTGGTGTTATTGGGAAGCATTTGGAGGAAATGATTCCTTGTTTAGCTGATATCTCTGTTATATTTCCTGCCGACATCAAGGTTAATTTGGTTTCAGTGTTTTCTTCTTTCAAGCTGTTTAGTACTATCTTTTTTGCTAATCGAAGGCATAGTCATGTGCAACAGATGTCGATTGCAGCAATTGCTAGAAGAAAAAAGCTACTGGATGATGATGTGATTACCTCTTTGGCTGACAGTTCCTGGGAAATTCTAGACGTTAGCGGTTCAGATGTTACGAATTCTGGCTTAGCTAAAGTGGCGGAAATGTGCAAATCTCTCCGAGCTGTGGACATTAGGTATTATAGTTGCTTACTGAGAATTCAGTTGACGTATGAGTTGGGCTCTTGATCTTTTGTGCTCGTATCTCATGGTATGCATGACTTTTAATTGGTAGTACTGACTTAGCTGAGTAGCATGATGCTTTCTCTATGTTTATTCTTAAGTACCGTTGATCGAATTTCTGTATAATCTGTTTCCCTTGAGATGGGAAGAAGATAAGCTACCAACACATGGGTTTCGTTCGATTTTTGCAGGCTGGAATGGTTATTTTATTTGTAGTTATGGTCTTCCTGGTTCTTTAGTTAGGAGCTTCTCTATGTTGTTTAAGTGGTGCTCGTTAGACCGTAAGTATCATATAGTTTCCTTGTTTTGTTATGCAGCCGGTGCAACAAAATCTCATCCATGGGCGTCTTAGAGCTTGTACAACACTGCCGTTCATTGGAGACTCTTAGATGCGGGTAAATTTTTCTTCTCCAGCTAACTGCAGTAAACTGGCCTTTTATGTGTTGTTGTTGGGGTGGCTTGTCTGTTTATTTATGACTTAATAAGTGATCATCTGGGTAAAATAAGATATTGAACCCATAGTGTGTGGGTTTGACTAGGGCTAACAAAGTTTTAAAAACATGCAATGAGAGAAAATTTAATTTTGCAGAGGATGCCCAAGCAGTGAGTCCACCGCACGCAGATCTTTGAGTTTTTTTAAGCCAAACTTGAGTAATGGTGAAGGAGAAACATGGGAAGAAATAGACACTTCAGAGATTGGCCATGGTGGTCAATCATTGCGTTGGCTTGTTTGGGTATGTATCGTCCCTCTGACAGTCTGACTAATAAGCTACCAGTAAACAAAAAGAATCTACTTTCTCCACCTGTGTCTTTCGCCACTCAGTGTACTCATTTAATTTGCTTTTTCTGCAGCCACGAATTGATAAGGATTCATTGGAGATGTTATCCTTGGAGTGTCCAAGAATAGTGGTAAATCCCAAACCATCACTTGTCGCGTACAGAGCAGACGAGGTTCCTCGAGAAGCACTACCAGATGTTGCAGTGGACGAACCATTTGTCAAAGATATTGATCCTAAGACGTGGGTTGTAACTGGAGTTGTGCAGAAGCCCACATCTTTCCTGTTATGCAATGAACTGCCAATAGCAGAGAAGTTCAGACTAGCATTTGCAGAGAGAGATGCAAGATTGGCCCCTAAACGTGCAAAGAATGCAAGGCAACGTCAGCGTCGTGCTGAGAGGGATTGGATGATGTCAAGCGACGAAGCCAAAGCAATGGTTTTGGCATCAAAGGCCACCAGATCTTTGCACAAGAGTTAGCAATATGAATTCTCTTCATCAAATATATGTCAAAGAAAATATAGGAGGAAGATGAGTGGATTTTCTTATGAGGCATGCCTCTTCTCTACTGTGGTCGAGTTGAATTAGTTCACAGCAGTTTTTGGGAGGAAAAGTGAATAGAAAAGAAAAGTGGCTGGTTACAGAAAAGTGTTTGTAACAGTTTAATCTTGTTTCCAGATCTTTCAATTGGTGCTACAGTCAAAGATACGTTAAACTGTTTATAGAATGAAGTGTGTAATTTTGCATTTTCTTATAGCAACTCTTGCCGATAAAGGTTTAGTGTAACCTGAAAGAAAAAAGATGCTCACAAAACTTGCTTTATTTGGATCTTAACATAAGAAGAAAACAGAAGGCGAGAAACACTCTGAGATCACTTGGCGCTCAAACTCCGGATGACGTATGGTAGAATACCGCCGTGATCATAGTATGCCAATTCGACCTGTGCAACGTTCCCAAGAAAACAAGTCTCAGATCAATTGAAAGTTTTGATTTTACAGATTTTGTTTGCTATATAACCAGTTTACCTCTGTATCAAAACGCAGGGTGCAGACAAAGGATTTGCCAGTGTCAGTGGTTACAGTGACGTCTTGACCGGGTCTAATGTCACTGACTTTTGTAGGAAGGTGGACTGTGTAGCGTTCATGACCGGTCAGTCCAAGGGTTTCCGCGTCCTCCCCGGACTTGAAACACAGAGGAATGATCCCCATACCAGCCAGGTTGCTGCGGTGGATTCTCTCAAAGCTCTTGGCAATTACAGCTTTTACTCCCTAATTTGTGCTTAACTGTTACGATCACAAGACATAACCAAAATCTGACAACTGTTGTAAACAATGTAAAACTTACCAAAAGCAAGGGGCCCTTTGCAGCCCAATCGCGAGAGCTACCACTTCCATACTCAGCACCAGCCAGGATGATCGTATCCTGTTCAGCGGTCTTGTATTTCTGAAAGCATATGTGAATTGAGTTAGCGACTTAAAAAAGGATCTATATATATATATATATATATATATGTTGAAGCTGTCTGACGATTCTACTTACACTTGCTGCATCAAAAACGCTAAGCTTCTCTCCAGTCGGAATGTGAACAGTCTTGGGGCCAACTTCTCCTTTCAAGAGCTTGTTAACAATACGGATATTGGCAAATGTACCACGAGCCATAACCTCGTCGTTTCCCCTTCGACTTCCATATGAGTTGAAGTCTTCTGGAATCACACCACGGTCCATTAGAAACTTTGCAGCAGGACTAGTTTTTTGAATGTTTCCTGCTGGAGAGATGTGGTCTGTTGTTACGCTGTCCCCAAAGTTCAACAAGCAGTAGGCATCCTTCACTTGACGAGGACCAGGTGGATTTGCGGTCATATTCTTGAAATACGGAGGTTCATGAATGTACGTGGAGTTTGGATCCCAAGAATATAACGTGGAACTCGGTGCAGAGAGTTCATTCCACAAGGGGTTTCCCTCTGTTATTGTTTCGTACGAGCTTTTGAACATGCTTGGTAGCACGCTATATTGAACAACCTATGGAAGAGTATGAGGAATTTTAGCAAGGAACATTTAAAGGTGAATAACTTATCCTCTAAGCATGTCACCAATGTACCTGAGCAACTTCCTCATTGCTTGGCCATACGTCCCTCAGGTACACACTTTTGCCATCTCTTCCGGTTCCTATAGGCTCTTTCTCAAAATCAATGTCAACCTGTATTCATAGGAGATCAATATATAGAAACAAACTCGAGATTGATGAGACTACTTAGCGAATAAATACTCAATCTTGTTGATGATGAACTATGATGCCAGACCAATTAAGGATATCCAAAGGAGACAAACACAAACATTTCAAATTTGAACTGAAAGTTGAAAAGTACAAACCGTTCCAGCAAGGGCATAAGCAACAACTAATGGTGGTGACGCAAGATAGTTAGCTCTTGTCTGTGGATGAACACGACCTTCAAAGTTTCGGTTTCCAGACAGCACAGCAGCCGGGATGATATCTGTGACACAGAGAAAGCACAATGGATCAGCCAAAAAGTGACCTTCAATTTGACGATGTAAGGCACTGATTTATCGGTGGAGAAACACAATTGATGAGGATTCCAGGTGAAATGGAAATGAAAATGGCAGAAGGAGATGCTTAGAGAAACAAAAAAAAAACACGTTTTGACAATTTTATAGTATGTTCGTATTGATGAGGATGTTGTTACCAGTTCCTTCTATAGCAGATGCAACTTCTGGGTCAAGGTTTCCAGAATTCCCAATGCATGTTGTGCAGCCGTAGCCGACAATTTCGAATCCTTGCTTGGTCAAGTACTCTCGGAGCCCACTGCAGAGAAGGTAAACGTTCAGTATGGATGTTCCATGATCAGATAAGTTATCCAGATGGAAATAGCGTTGACTCCAACACACCTTCGATCCAAATATTTCTCGACAACTCTAGACCCTGGAGCAAGACTTGTCTTAACCCATGGTTTTACCTGAATTGAAAAGTCAACTACAGTCAAAACAGGATTCATAACCCAGTGATCTCAGGGCAAAGAGAAAAGGTGGAAAACTCACCTCCAGGCCAAGATCCGAAGCTTTTTTTGCAACGAGTGCTGCCCCGATCATGACACTAGGGTTTGACGTGTTTGTACAACTGGTAATTGCCGCAATAACAACACTACCATGCTTGATCTCAGCAGGTTGTCCGTTGTACGAGAACTTCACAACTTCTTCTTGTTTTTCTTTTGGCACTGCAAAACCCTTGAACAAAAAGCAAAGTCTTACCAATTATCCAAAAAAAAAAAGAAATCAACGTCATTGGTTGTTTTATGATTTTTGTTGTAACCACATCTTGCATCTCACCTTGAATCCAACAGGATTGTCAAGGCATGCATGCCAGTCAGCCTTCATGTCTTTCAGAGGCACTCGGTCATGAGGCCTATTGAACAGAAAATATAGTAATTAATGAAACCTTAGGGAGGTACGGGCGATGGATCAGAACGTTCAAAAAATATCAAAACGAAGTGAAAGTATACCTTTTAGGCCCAGAAATACATGGTTCAACATGTCCCAAATCCAACTGCAAATAAGATGTGTATGCTCTTTCTTGCTGGGGCTGCAATAAAGTCCCGATATTTGGAGTTAAGAATCTTGTCGACATAATAAAATACAGTAAACTGATCAAGGATGTCCATACCTCGTTGTAGTCAACAAACATATTGTTTGCGCGTAAATATGATTCTATCATTGACACCTAAAATAAACCAAGTTGGCGATCATGTGAGTCACAGAAACCAGAGGAAACAGGATAGATGTTTAGGCATAGGATACAGAAAAAGTAAGCCACGTGATAATGCACACTGAAGAACATAACAACCTAAGTCTACAGATAGCTTGCTAAAATGTTTTGAAACAGATTATGCAGCAATAGTCAGCCGCAGCACACGTAAACCACAAGAACCAGAACTTGAAACTAAAAGCACATTTTATGCATGATGATTCTACTTTACCAAAAAAGAAAGAATGAAAAAGTAGAGAAAGTGGAGAGAGAGAATTCACAGTTTCGTCGCTTCTTCCTGTCAACTTCAGGTATTCCAGTGTAACATGATCCACTGGGAAGAAACCCATAGTTGCTCCATACTCGGGAGACATATTTGCAATTGTGGCTCTATCAGCCAGTGAAAGTTCACTCATCCCCTCACCTTCATATCAAAATAAATAAGTTAAAACATGGATACTGACCAAATAATAGTCCATCAGAAATTCAAAGTTACGCAGCCATGGTTCTCACCATAAAATTCAACAAACTTGCCGACAACACCATGCTTCCTTAATATTTGGGTCACAGTGAGAACTAAATCAGTAGCAGTAACCCCTTCCTTCAACTTTCCATCCAACTTAAATCCGACCACGCCAGGTAACACCATGCTCATGGGCTGACATTGAAGTACCATATGACTATATGAGTGGCAAAACAAATTTGACACTTACAAATAAACAGTGAAGGTGTACAGACGAAATGAGCTCACCTGACCAAGCATTGCTGCCTCTGCCTCAATTCCTCCAACACCCCACCCAGCGACTCCTAATCCATCAATCATGGTTGTGTGGGAGTCGGTTCCAACAACGCTATCAGGGTAGAGAAATCCATTCGAGTTGAAAACAACACGTCCAAGGTATTCCAAGTTGACCTGCAGTATCAAATAATAACAAGCTATCATAACAGAACCCTTAGACAGCATTATGAGATTCATGCACCCTTGAAAATCTAGTAGTCTACCAAACAGATTAAACAGGCTAATACTCTAATCACACTTATGTTTTAGAAAACCTGTTCAAAATTTTCAACAAGGCAACCAGAATTTACTGTCATCACATGTTATACCCTAATTATACATCTCTAGATTAGAATGAAAGTGTCATCTTGTACCTGATGGACAATCCCAGACCCAGGAGGAACGACCAGCATGTTTTGGAAGGCCGTTGAACCCCACTTAAGGAACGTAAATCTTTCTTTGTTCCTTTTGAATTCAAGCTCCAAATTTTTCTGTGCGGCATCTTCTGACCTTGCAAAGTCAACTTGGATCGAGTGATCAACGACAAGATCCACAGGAACCTAGATATATACAGGAAAATATGAGAACTGCAGGATTAAACATATTACAGCCGCAAAGCAATGAGAAACTTCACTAACCAAGGGGTTGATCTTGCTAGGATCACTACCAAGATTCTTCACTGCATCCCTCATAGAAGCAAGATCAACTAGAACTGGTACTCCAGTGAAGTCCTGGGCAAAAATTACAAGTTAGGATAGAGCTGAATCAATCGGTACCGGTCTTAGAGGCCTGGAGAGGGGTTTTTGGTGTAGAACGGTAGAAGTAAAGAAAAAATATGCTACAAACCTGTAATATAACACGGGCTGGCTTGAAGGCAATTTCAACCTGCTTAGTAGATGTATTCTCCCAGTCGAGGATTTTCTCAACGTCATCCTTTGTGACTTGATAGTTGTCACAGTTACGAATCGCTGATTCCAATAGTATCCTTACAGAAAATGGCAACTTATCTGCATTATCACGAAAAGGTGTTAACTTCACCAAAAATCCATTACAATACAAACAGAGAGAGGCTCGGGGAAACATACCAACTCTTGGATCGTTTAAAGCTGGTAACGAGTAGTAGTTTCCATACTCTCCACCACCAGGTTTAGGAAGACTTGTCAATATATCCTTGTAGGCATGCTCAGAAGCTGCGTTTTTCACATCAAACGTTATAATCAAAATTCAATTGACACATACCACATGAATTTGCTTGTTCATCTAGTAGACTAAATCTACAAATATATCATAAACAAAATGCAAGAGCAAATCAAATGTTCATCTAGCTAGTTTAACATGGATCAGAACATATCAGAATTCAGTAGATCCTCATTCTAAAGCGAAATCGATCAAAGCAGATATGCGGTAATCACGGATTCTTGTAATACAAGTTAAGAGCAATCATTCTTAGAACGTCAGAGAAAGCAAACAGACATACCCATGGTTGCGTATGTCCGTTCAAATTTCTCCATAACCGGAGCGGAGTTCCTAGATTGAGCACGAAGGCTAGCAGGCGATCCCCAGCTCACACCATGGCTCCACCGCGTGGAAGCAGAGCAAACTCGAAACGAGCGGAGAGCCGAAGAAAAGCTCTTAGATCGGTTCATCTGATTGAGAAGCAATGGCGCTGAGGGAGCCGAAACCGAAGCTGTCTCGGTAGAGGCGATCTTCGTGAGGGAAGAAGAAAGCCTCGTGGAGGCAGAACGCACGCCGGAAGTGGCGCGTCGATACATGGCGGCAAATCAAAACAGTTGAAGAGATTGGAGAAATCTCCAGAAGAAGGAAGAAGGATCAAAATGAAAGCCCAGAAAATAGGATATTTGAGATTGGAAGAAGATCGTGGAAGGGACGAGGAAGAGAGAGATTTCGTCAAGCTTCTGAAAGAGGCGAATCAGAGATTTTACAGAACCTTCCAAGGACACACTCACTAATAATATACAATGCCCAAGGTCACGTCAGGAGTGTCGCGTTTAACCGTTGGATGACCTCGAGACGAACAAATGGACGGCTTATGATTCACTTTGGACCGTTGACCATTTTATAATTGCATTTTTTTATTAATTTGAAATACTTAAAAAGAAAATTTGTTCTTGCAAATTATGTAACATCTTATCTTATTATATACCGTATAAAGGTTACAGCTAAAGACCAACGTGAGAACATTCGAATAATTGGCTTTTCGTCGAAAGATGGGAATATTTTCTTTTTCCAGAAAGTAATTTTTATATTCACAAACTAAAAATGAGTAATTTAGAACTATAACATAAACCAGAATAAAATTCAGAACTACACTTATTTTGGTAATTCTACGTTTGATTGGGTTGTTTGTGTCTGGCAAAAGCCAAGTAGGATTTCTCCTCTGAACATAAAACAATTATTCTATATATATTTTTTTCTTAAATCCACTTCCATGACATGAAAATGAATACTATACTATTTTCCAATCAAAATGTATGATAAAGTCAACGAAGAAAAACGAAGGGTAGCTGCTAGGCTCTTCTTCAGCTATGAAGGACAAGGCAAGCTAAAAGTCTCAAGCATTATGCCAAGAGACAAACACCCTAAACAAAACAAAGCATAAGAAGATGGCTTCTCATTTTGACTCTTCTAAGTCCTCATTGACAGCGTGAAAGGCCACAAATTTAGGGTCTTGAAAAGCTCTCTGGTCTTATGGTTCATCGGTAAGGCTCAAACCAATCGGTATGTGTGGAGTACAACAAACAAAATAACTGGACGGAAAATTCTGTTGATTGTTTTTTCTGCGTGAAGAATGATGTGTTTAGGATGGTGGCTGCCATGTCCCAGGCCTAAATGATGATCCAGATCCTGATGGCTCTGTTGTCCTGCATCATCATCAACACCACCATTAGTTTGCATTTAAAGCATACCAAACACCATACATACAATATGTTCATAGATAACAGATTGAGCATCGTAGCAGTCAGTCTCTAACAATCGGAAACAAGTGTCATGTTTCATATCTGTGAGCCAGAATGCGAAACTTTAGGATTAAAAATATGTAAGTCAGCTAGACTTACTTTGGTTCGGGTGGTTCTGCAGAAACTATCTCGGGTTCATGTTCCTTGGCCCTGTAAAGCAATGTGAGAGCATTTGATTATGGAGGTCTTGTGAAAGATGATGTGTTTTGCATCCAGAAAAAAAAAATAGAATGTAAGAAGATTTAACACAGATATGATTGGTGCGGAAATATTATGAATCATGATGACTCACCTTGATTTATCTGCTTCTTCACTAGCTTCCTCTGGTTCACCACCTTAAAGCATTAACAAAAATAAGGAAATAAACTAAAACTGTCAGTCTTACTTCCACGAGTTTATGGTAGAACAATAATCTCTTTTACGGTTATAATCTGAAATCTAGCAACTGTAGTAACCTCAGTCCTTGAATTAACAAATGACATAAAGGATATATAATGGTGAATGTGATCAATTTTGTTGCCCTTCTAAGCTAACGCAATCATTATGGTTGGGAACATTTTACAATCAGAACTTACAAACTTCACAAGGCAAATTCAAAAGATGTTTCTGATTCACTTTCACAAAACTATTCTAATGATCAGTCAATAGTTACATCCGGAAAAGTTAAACAAGAATCAACAAATTCCCTCAAAACAATTCTTATGACACAAATTGTGTCATTCCAAAGACACTTTATCAAGTAGATTTAGCTCCCGAGCGAGAAGTTTCAGTGGACACCATTTGATGAGTCAAACACCACAACAATATAAATGCCTATCCATAATAATTTCTATCAAATTTACACAAGGGGATTTCAGAAAAAGGGAGTATACAATTCCTAAGAAGTTAGTCATCCGCATCTATGGTGACTCCCTTAATCTATTGGCTGAGAAAATGTAATACCTTTTGAATCCGGTGGAAATTGGCGAACAAAGCTTGTCAAATCTGGACCGTCAACTTTACCTTTACACAAGGAGACCGCACATTAAGCTACCAATTCAGAAATGAAAGCAAATTTTGTGGGCTATACTGTTAATTACCAATGGTGATTTTGCGTCCCGTGCCTTCTCTGGCTTTCTTCTCCTCCTCTTCTTTCTTGAGAACTTAACAAGGAATTGAAGGCAAAAGAAAAACGATAAATGTTTTGCATTGAACTTGAAGCGACATATTAAATGGAAAAATGCATACGAATTTCTTGACTTGCTAACACAGAAGCGCAAAAATAACTTGTTGACTTTGTTCATTCAGAACTTGGAAGTTTGAAAAATCAAGTCCTCAAAGTGGTAAACTGTTTGCAGTAAGGATCAATGACACCAGGAAATAATAATGTTGAGACGTTTTTAAAAATAAATAAGTTCTGGAAAATGTATTAATAATCTGGAACACCTACGAGCAACATTAAGCTTCACACGCTCACGCCTTGCTTCAAGTTCAACCATTTCCTGGACCAACAAACAAACACCAATATCAATTTAGTTGCCCTTCTATGCTGACGACAAATAATTCTGGTTAAAGAGAAGTTCATCTTACCTCAGGAGTAGGAGCCCTTTTCCGCTGCCCATTCAGCCAACATATCCATTCAACTACAACATTGATCAAACAAAAATGTAACTAGATTCATGCATGCATGCCACATATCTTATAGATGTGCTTATGTTTCAAATCTAACATCAGACAAGTAAATGAATATATGATCATATATAAGAACCCATTTTATATGTTTTTAAGAAGAGTTACCAGGAATAGAGGTTGGGTCCTCCTCTCGTCTAAAGACAACCCATCTTTTCTCCTTCACTGGATAGTAGAAAGAAGCACATCAGAACATATTACTCTACAAAAATGGAGTCTACAAGAGTCTTATTAATCGTTCTGAGCATCTAAATAAGCTCTGTTAGTTTTCATTTGGGTATCAATTACATAATTCCCCGTACTCATGACACGACCACACTTAGCTGAATCATTTCATGTATGAAAAGAAAACAATGTTAAATTTCTAAATTTATTTGCTTCACTGCAATACGCGATAGGCAAAGACAGCTGATTCATCTAATCGAACGGAAAAAAACCAAAGAAATTCAGCAACTTGACAAAAAGAAGGAATTAAGGAAAGAAGAGGTTGGAAGAACAATACTCGCCCAATCCGTCAATCTCCTCCATTCTGGAAAAGTACTTGTTACCAGTCTTGTCTACTCCAATGAAACTCTTGCTACTGAACAATCCGGCAACTCTCGCCCATAGTCTCGACATAGCTTCTCCCGCCGATTACTTCTCCGTATGATCCACAAACTCAACACCCAGAATTGTTCCCCGATCGAGTCTGCTCCGTCTGGATCAAAAATCCGACCCGGTAAACGGATATTTAAATAGTGTAGAAGAAGATCCGACCCGACTAATCAGAGGGTCTTGGTTTAGAGTATGATTAAATGAACCAGGGATTGGAATACGCCGGTTTAAGTGTCAGGAACAATGACAAACGTACGCATCGTATATTTTCAAAACAAAACCCTAATTTTAATTTTCCCACCTCTCGAATCCCCAATTCCAGTTTTCCCGCCTCTCCATCACACCCGCTCCTTCCTCTACAAAATCCCTCCTTTCATCACAATACTCTTCTTCTTCACCATGAAAGGAATCTCCAGATCGCCGGTGAGAAGAAACGACGGTTTCCACCGTTACTTGAAACCAGGGGCTCTGGCTCAGATCCGTAATTCTAGAATCAACGCTAGATCCAACTCGCCCCTGACTCGTTCTCTCACGGATCCAGTCCACCCGCTTTCATCTTCTACCGAGAGTCCTGTTGCTGCGCCTCCGCAGACCATAACTATGGACCAGATGCCCCATCTCTTGAGCAAGATCTATGGTCCGTATCGAATCGGTAGGAAGAAATTTGGCCCTGCGAGATCTGCGATGATGAATTTGAACCCTTCCCAAACTCTATACTTGAATCTACGAATGGTAATAGCAACGTCTTGAGTAATAATGATGTTTTAGTTGCTCATTGAATTAAGCTTAAGTTCATTTCCCTTCTTTATGTAGATTACTTTGTAACTGTTACACTTTGGGGAAATATCTTCAATACTCATCAGACTTATATAATTACAGTTCAAAAATCTCAATAAATAGTGTTTCTTTCTCAATCTATCAGAAGAATGATTTCACTTTATTAATTGAATTCATTTTCCCATTTGGGCTTAGTTCATAAGGGGACACAAGCTTTATCTCAAATATCATGTCTATCATTCCTCTGCTTGCAAATCTTTATATGGATCTCATTTGAGTTTCATAGGGTGAAAACATATATATGTCCTGCTTTTTATAGCCTGAGCCTCAACATCTCACTGTTGCATCTCCTTTATGAGGATGATGTTTTGTATCTATGAATGTGGACAAATTTATTGGTTAGTCAGTAATGGTGATATATGCTACTCAATTTCGTGTGAGATGTTGGATTTTTCTTGACAATGTAGTGTGGAATACCGAGTAACAGCCAGAGTGGCCATCTAAACAATTCAATATATGAACGGATGAATGATTAGCCTCAGACTAAAATGTGGTTATGGTATAGACTATACCGTATAGTAATGATATAATCACAGCATTATGCTATACCTTATCAAGATTGAGCATCCAAATTGTCTTTCACTTAAGGGATGTGACTTCTAGAAAGGTAACATGGATAATAATTGGGATATAATTCGCTTTCACTTGATATAACCACTTACGAATTGGTACAAATAAATTAGCTTTATATAAGAAAAACAGATTTGCTAGTCATAAGACTCATAACTAATAAAGATGTAATCACTATCCTTTTTTTAGTTCAACTATAATCACTACTCAAACATAATAAATGGCCTTCAAACAAATCAAAAAGTTTGGTGGTACAAATATTTTGCTTGTTGACATGTATCTGTTTTTGTACTTTGGTTGTTCTAACTCATCTTCTTTTTCATCGGTAGCAATTCTTAGACAAATCACATGAGAGAGCTTCTTGATTTTGAATTTGGACCACAAAATGTATTGTTGATGAAGGCCCAGAATATACAAAACCTTTACTTTTCACAAATCGTGGCTCAAATTGATTAGGTCAGCAAAGATAAGTTGAAATCTTGAAGTGAGTGATATTGTTTTTTATACTCCTATAAGAGAACAAGAAAGTTCGATGAATGACGGCTACGCAAAGGGCCCAAAGCGCTCGTTAACCATCGAAGAATCTTCCTTTCAAGCTAAACGTTTTGTTTGTTCTTAAAACACAAATCAAATTACTAGTTTACTACTTTCCTTCTTTTTTTAACTTTCTCAACTCTTTCATGCCTAGATTAGCCGCCATGGATAATATATATTTCCCCTAGTTCTCTTATGAATATTTACGATTTATATATGGAGATCTCATAGGATGATCTTTTTAGATGTGCAGTTTTGTAGGAATTCTACTGCAATCAAATATACGTCTATTAATTAATAGGAAAAGAAAAACAATAGCACACAAGTAAGACAACCACTTATTCTGTTTAAAAAAATAGTTTCTCAAATTGTTATAAACAAAAATTAATGTTTTTGGGTTGCTTTTTGAGTAGGATATACGAAATCCAGATTAATTTTGAGATCTAGAAATGTATGCTTCATTAAAATAAGCTATGAGCATGACCAACTATGTAAGTATGTAACATGCATGGATGGTCGCCTTTCCGTGTCAATAAAAACGCTGATGACTTGTAGCTTTGTCTTGTCAGGGAAAATAACACTATTACCAAGTCAGCCGTCTGAATTGGACCTTTGTCAAGCCACAGGCTCCAAATTTTCTATCGTTCAAGGGGATGAATCTGTGAAACTTTTTGACTAATTTAAGTAACAAAAAGTGGGATATCGACACTAATAACTTATTAGTAATAACATGTGGTACCCATTTTATAATAAAAAAAAAAAAACAAAACTTCGAGAGTAAATTCAATTCATGAATTACTTTCCGTGATGAAAGAAACTAAAAGTAAAATTGGCTACATATGCTTTAGTGAAGTAAGGTAGTGTACTTTGTTGACCGTAAAAACTCATCTTCTCATTATGACACAACGCACCAAATGTTGATGATCATAATAAATGTCCGGACGTATAATGAATATAGATTCCCGCGTCTTTGGATGATATCTATAAAGACAAAATAAGAACCAATCTACGTATTCGTTCTTCAATCCCACACCTCTTGTGTCACTTTCTACCTTTCTCTTCTCAAATTTTCAAGCTATTTTGCTTCTCTTGACACAGATTCCACTCTATAAATCTCATTATATTATTATATTCTCTAAGCTTCATTTTAATCAAACGTCAAAAGGTAGGTTCGTAGATTTTCTTACATTCTTGTCTCTTTTGCGAGTTTGTGACTACTAGCTTTAGAGTTTTTGTATAATCGAAGATCTTTCAATGGATTCTTCGTGGTCGTCTGTTATGTTTTGTAGAAGCAGCTGAGTATCAATGGAGCAGAACTACATGAGGCATGAGCTATGGAGAGATGGAGATTTTCAAGAAGATGATGTGTGGGATGTTCTTGATGCATATCAATCACCGTTTATGAATAGTATTAGTAACCATACCACTAAAACTTCTTTCTCAACCCAAACTTTACTTCCAAGCGAACCTAGAATGATTCCTGAGAGGCAGAGGATAGAAGGAATGACACCTATGAGACAACAGTCGGCTCCTGTCAATGTCCCTGATTGGTCAATGGTTCAAAGAAAAAAGACAGAGAAAGTTGATGATGATGAGAATGTGTCACCTGAGGAATATTTCCTGCGGCGCAGTCGATCATCGTCCTCTTCAGTTATGGAAGGAGTTGGAAGGAAACTGAAAGGAAGAGATTTAAGCAAAGTAAGGAATGCAATATTGAAGCAAACTGGATTTCTTGAGTAGACCAAGATTGTATAAATGTTTATTAGGTGATTTCATTTTTTAAAAACTCTAGTTTGCTAAGATGTATACATATATATGTATATAGGTGGGTTTTTTTCTTCTTTTGGTTTTGATATATGTATAGGTGATTTGATTCGGCATAGTAATATAATAAAGAAGAATCTCGAGCGGCTCTGCATCTGCAACCACTATCACAAATTCGGGGATCAAATAATTTACAAGAAGATTAGGATTTTAGAGGGAACGAGTTTCTCGACTTGAAGATTCTCAAAGAACTCTTAAGGCTAAGCAATGTTTCTTCTATGTATGTGTGTATAATGGGCCTGCGCAATAGATTTCGGCCCAATTTCATTTAACGAGAGGGTTTGTGTATGATTCAGTTCTTATGTGAGCAAGCTTTGTTTGTACCACCAGTTATTTTGTCACCTATTTTGTCAACGAGTTATTATTTTTATTTTATTTTTGGTAAACTTGTCAACGAGTTATTATAAATCGAAACCATGGGAGACCTAACAGATCTGAGTGATTCTTCTTATGATTTATTTCATTTTGTTGAGACCATGGAAAATTCCTTTGCATGAATGTTGATGAATTTAGTGTTTTTTATTCTTTCTTTTTCCTTGGCAGTGAGAAATTAAGCAATAAAGTCTTATAGAAAATTATTTATATAGGAAAGCATATAAAGTTTAAGAATTTTGAACTCTTTTTTCTCTTCTAATATGTTAAGTAATAAAGCATTAAAATTTTAGCAGGATCACTTAATTATAAAACTTAAAACCATAAATAATATATTTTTTTGTTGCAAAATTTTTTGGTATTAATACACAACGGACCATGCATAATATTCTATAAAAATAAATAAAACAGTCAAAAATTTGTATTTGCGTTTGCGTTTACATAAAGAGAACAAACTTCAGTGACATGCATTGAAATCATATAGATAATTACATAATTTTCTCTCATCTTAAAATGTCCACGTCAACAACACTATTTTTTGCATTAAAGTATATTTAAAATATTCGTTAATGAGATGAGACAAATTAAGTCACTAAAAATAACATAAAGACGATGTTAAAAGACAATTTAAGTACACTAAAAAACCATAGTATATAAGTAGAGTTTTCTCTCATCTTAAAGTCTCCACCTAAGCAACACTACTTTGTGTACACAAATTGTCCTATAACATCCACAACATCGTCTTTTTGTTATTTTTAGTAATTTTAGAGTTTTCGTCTTCTCAACAAGTTTTCATACCAAATTGTCCAATTGAATTGAACCGGTTAAGCGAACGATATGGTTATCATCAACAAAAAGAAAATAAAAAAACGTCGCATAAGCTTTTACCAGAAATTTCTAATGGCCATTAAGTTTGTTAGGTGGAGAGCATCGTCCTCACGGAGTTGGGTCCGATCACATCCATCTTCGGGAGGACGGATATGACCGCGCGTGAAGAAAGTATAAACAGCTACTTTTAGTCCTTTGTACTTCAATTTCAAGTTTTAGCTGTCGTCCTCTCGTCAAAATATTAACAGACATAATAGGTTTTGGGTTTAATTTGACTTCTTTTAAAAAAAAAAATTCGGCTGGATATGTATAAATTGAATGTCTATTGTTATTAGAGAAAAAACTCTTTGAGAAAAAAAAACAAATTATTAGATGATTTCATTCATTAAAAAAACTATTTTGCTACGATGTTTACATATATATAGGTGAATTTTTTCTCTTTTGGTTTTAATAAATAGGTGATTTGATTTGGCATAAATAAAACAAATGTCTGAACTATTGTTGAAAATGGATGATATAAGGTTAAATTTTTTACCTAAAGTTAGGTTGTGAAAAAGACTTGCAAGTAAAGATGGTATGAGCTTTAAAATTCATTGAATTACACGATTCGAACCGTCGATGACAAAGACTATTGATCTTAATAAAAAGAAAATTTCGAAAAAAAGTAGAGGTGAGTTGTTGTTAGTTGGAAATCGTTGATTGAGGATCATGTGCAGCACACGTGGTCAATGTTGATTCCCTTTGTCGCCATTCTTCGACAGCTTGGGAACATGCATGTGATTGCTAATTGAGTTTAACTTTCGTACCCAAACATATTCATTCATCATCGTTCATGTTGAGATTTTTTTGTTAATATGACTTCTTTATACACAAATATCCTAGTTACGTATCTGGTTACTCAATTTTTGTTTATAAATCAGAAAGAAAAAGAAGAATTCACCTAATATTTTGTCAGAAAAAAAAAACTAATTAAATCTAGTTGTATAATTAATTTGATTTGTGGAGTTTTGACTAGGTTCGCTGGTCAACTTTTGCGTAGAGTGGTCCTGTCGGTAGCTTCAATTTTAATTAGTTTTTTTGCTTAATCCAATCTACTTGGTATTATTACTGTAAAGTGAAAATTAACTAATAAAGCAAAAAATAATAATTTTAATTATCCCAACACAAAATAAAGATTCCATTCATCTTCTTCCAGCTTCGAATTCCGCGCACCAAAGGCAAGAACAAAGCCACGGCTTTTCTCTCTTGTCGTTTTCTTCATACATTCGTCTTTTCATAGGATCAATCTACACTTTCTCTGTTAACATTTTCGTTTCCGAGGAGAAAAGTCTCGATCTTTTGGATCTGGGAGGTTTGGTTTGGGGTTGACTCGGTTTTGACTCGGGACGAGTCGTCTCTTGAGATGGATGTCTCGTGTTTAGTAGCTCTTTGAGAGTCTGCCTTTCTGGGTTCAATAGATTATAGTTTCGCTTAGAAACACACACAAAGATGTCGTTGAAGCATCATCACAGAGGATTAGAGCTCTCTGCTTCGAAAAGTTTTGTCTCAAAGAAATGGACTTTATTTCTATGTATCGGTTTCTTCTGCGCAGGAATTCTCTTCTCCGACAGGTAACTAAACAATGCTCTGTAATTACCACTCACTAATTCCTGTCTTTATTTCTTCTGTAAATATCTCTTTTTGGACTGTCGGTGGGTATAATTTTCTCACTCTCACAACACCCAGATTTGTAAATCTAACGATTTTTTTCGTGCTGTGAAAGTTTTGCATATGTCGAGGAAGACAAAGATAATGGAAATTTTTTCTTTTTCTTTCCGGGAAAATGTCGTTAAGTTTTCCTGTTTCGATGAAAAAATTACAATGATTTTAGTTTCATTCGCTGTTGGCAAAGTTGTAATTCTTCTTCATTTAAGTAATGAAAAGTACATCCTGAGATTCATTTGTAGACAAAAGGTATATTCTTTATGGACAAAATGCTTGAGATGTTTTTGTAGTCCATGGAAGAACCAAAATCAATCACAAGCCGTTGATAGTCTAATTGTACCCTAATCAGACTGTGTTTGTTAGTAGAATGTGGCCAGAGCCTGAAGCCAATGTTGTATCAAGGGACACAGTAGCGTCAGATGAGCGGCTGCGGTTAGAGTCTGAGGACTGTGATTCATCAAAAGTAAGTTTTCTAATTTAGGTGCATTGATAGTCATGAGCCCTAGAGGAATTCTTGATTCCTGAGTTGTTCATACCATTCTTAATTGTTTATCAGAAGGGTTTGAAGCGTGAATCGAAAGACATCCTTGGAGAAGTTTACAAGAGTCCAGATGCCATTCAGTAAGTGGGAAATATATGATATGGAACTTCACTTCTTCTTTTTAATTTTTGGTTGCGGTTTTTCGTTAAACTTTATGGTTTTTCTTGAATGGTGCTATGCAGAACGCTTGATAAAACGATTTCAAATCTGGAAAACGAATTGGCGGCTGCAAGAGCTGCGCAAGAATCCATCATGAATGGTTCACCAGTTTCTGATGACTTTAAGCTTCCTGAAACTGTCACTAAAAGAAAGTATCTGATGGTTGTTGGGGTAAATACTGCGTTTAGCAGCAGAAAGCGTAGGGATTCAGTCCGTGCTACTTGGATGCCTCCCGGTATGTTGATCTAAGCAGCGGTTTCAGCCTAAAGTATCTTTTTTCGGGACTAAACATAGGTCTTCTTTAGGTGAGGAGAGAAAGAAGCTTGAGGAAGAGAAAGGGATTGTGATGCGGTTTGTGATAGGCCATAGGTAAAACTTGTACCTTAAGAGTGGCACGTTATTTGCTAGGTTGATTTAGTTATATATTTCCTGATTGAGTGTTTTCTGTGGGCAGTGCTACTCCTGGTGGAATTCTTGATAGAGCGATTCAGGCTGAAGAAAGTAAACATGGAGACTTCTTGAGGCTGGTAAGACTTTTACGGGTCATGTTTCTCATCGAATTATACTTTTTGTGGACACTGGACAGGTTCACGGCAGTCACATTTTACCGATATCCAGGCTTTCTGTTTTTTAATTGTTATGTTTGTTTGAGCAGGATCATGTTGAAGGTTATCTCGAGCTGTCAGCAAAGACTAAAACTTACTTTACCACGGCTTTTGCAATGTGGGATGCAGACTTCTACGTGAAAGTAGATGATGATGTGCATGTAAATATAGGTGAATATAAACCCTCTTAAAGTATCTGAATTGTTTTGTTTCTTGCCATCTCAAGTTTGCGCCTTTGCTCACTTCTGTTACGGATATTTCTGCAGCCACGCTCGGAGCAGAATTAGCAAGATACCGGATGAAGCCTCGAGTCTACATTGGTTGCATGAAATCTGGACCCGTTCTTGCTCAGAAGTAAGTTGTTCACCTTCAAGAGACCACTTCTCATTGTAAATGTTTGTCTCACTTCCATTTCTCTCTGAAATTTCCATTTTTAGAGGAGTGCGATATCATGAACCCGAATACTGGAAATTTGGAGAAGAGGGTAACAAGTACTTCCGCCATGCCACTGGTCAGCTCTATGCAATTTCCAGGGAATTGGCGTCTTACATATCGATAAACCAGTGAGTTCTTTCCCACTGCCTTGGCAAATCCGAAAAGTAATCTGCTTTATGCTTAAACGCTCATACGCTGATTGTGTATTAACCAAAGACAAATTGTGTATACAGAAACGTACTTCACAAATATGTGAATGAGGATGTCTCTTTAGGATCATGGTTTCTTGGATTAGATGTGGAACATGTAGATGACCGTAGGCTATGTTGTGGTACAACAGGTAAAAAATTTCAAGTTCCCTTATCTATTTCCAAGTATGGAATTTTTCTCGATTCCAATTTTAATCAATGAGAAACTGCAGATTGTGAGTGGAAAGCGCAGGCGGGCAACATCTGTGTTGCCTCGTTCGATTGGAGCTGCAGTGGGATTTGTAGATCAGCGGATCGGATGAAGGATGTTCATCGGAGGTGTGGAGAAGGTGAAAAAGCTCTCCTGGCTGCATCTTTCTGAACACAATAACTAAAGAAACACACTGAGGAAGAAGAGTACAGAGACAAATCCGCTCGACACAGTAGTATAGACACACATTCAAACTGCTCAACACTCTCTCTATATCTGTATGTATGTATGTATCTTGTGAACTGAGATGAGAAGGGTGCTTTTTGCCCTCCTTTCTTGTTTCTTTATGCCTTTTTCAATTCTCTGAAGGTCTGGAGTTCTTTGCACCCAGAAAATGCAGATTTTAGCTGCAGAAGGCAGACTCTATGAGTGCACCTTCAGAGCACTGCATTGAGGCGATTTCTCCGCCCTTTGAGCTTTTCTTCTTCATTTCTTTTTGGATTTTGCCTCTTTTGTTCCATTTTTCTTTTGCCATGATTGTGGTGAAACAAGGACTGTACTTATGCGTGTACTAAGAACACAAAACTATCCAATAAAGAGTAGACCATGTGAGAAGAAAATTATAAGCATAGAAGAAACTTTTCTTGGTTAATAGGAATGTGCACACAATGATTTCTGGCAGGTATATTCCACTTTCAGGAGATGCAAAGAGGCTGGTAGATCATTTGGGATGTCCGTTGGCATGTAACCGATGAACAATGCCAAGATCTCTATACTTGTTATATCTCAAGCATGAGGATCATAAAACTTTAATAATTACAACATATTTGACAGATATCATAATTCAGGATTTTAATTGTACAATCAAGAACATGTTTCCATTTAGTTGTCCATTGATCTTTCGCCTTTCTCTAGCAGATCCCTGGCAAGTTGTTGGTGTCATCGTCAACTGGAAACAGCAAAGCGAACTGGTGATCGTCAAGGACAAGGCTGTCCTCTGTTGTTATCGCAGAGGAATGCCCGTTTGAGATCTCTTCGCTTTCACTTCCCCAGTCAAGAAGCTTTGTTATGTCCTCATCTTGCATCGTATTCATCTGGAGACACTCGTCTTCCTTTGGTGTTAAACCTGTGTGTCAATCAAAACAAAACATTCAAAAACACTTGTTTTTGCAGATTGAAGCATTTTGAGCTGTCTGATTATTACCTTGCAAGGGAAATAGATTGTTGGAAGAACCACAATGTCCAAAACTACCCGAGAAGAAGTTGTTGTTGTTGTCCTGGAGAGCAGCCATGAGTTGTCTCCGCTTAGGAGCACGAAAGCTATCAGCTAAAGCCTCGGCCTCCTCCATAAGATCCTCTAACAGCTGGCAGGTATTTGTATGCAAACTGGTGTTAAGGTTTTGGTTACAATCACCATTGTCTAAGAACTTGCTCACTTGATAGACTCCTAAAGAGGTGGAGAATGGAATGTGGTTTGAAGAGAGCTCATGTTTCATGGAGTAAACCGGATTGGTAGACTGATAGGAGGAAAGTGGGAAATGGGTGTTAAGAAAGGTCGGAGAAGAAGTATAAGAGGCCTTGGGAGAGAAGGCAGTGTTGTAACAACGTTTGGGACACAGAGAAGGCGGTTGGAGAAGAGGAAAGGTAAAAGAAGAAGCGGGTGTTGGAGACGGGAGAGGTGAGGAGGGTGTGTTGGGCTGTTGAGGATACATTTGTTGTTGATGATTGCTTGGGGAAATATCTGGAGGGTAGAGAGGGAGGCCTTGGCGTTGGAAGCGTTTCAACCTCGTGTTCCAGTAGTTCTTGATCTCGTTATCTGTTCTTCCTGGTAACTAATAAAAAGAAACAGTAGAAGAAGACAATGGTTAAGTTTTTTGAGAGTTGGAAGAAGAAGTCGAAGCCTAGAAAACAGAGAGAAGCAATGCAGTTTTATGAGATTTATAAGTGAAGGATTGATAACCTGAGCAGCCATGCGAGCCCATTTGTTGCCGAGCTGAGAATGGAGTTGTATGATGAGACGTTCTTCCTCAGGGGTGAAGGAGCCTTTCCTGAGATTAGGTCGGAGGTGGTTAGCCCAGCGGAGGCGGCAGCTCTTACCGCACCGAGCCAGCCACGTCTTCTTCTGAACAGCATTCCAGTTCCCTTCACCGTATTCCCGTACATAAGCAGCCAAAGTCTCGTCCTCCGCCACCGTCCATGGCCCTTTCTTCAGAACCACCCGTCCACCTCCACCGTCCTCGGATGCTCCCCCACCGTATACGATCATTGCCCCCTCTGCGTCCCCGGTGAAAGGTTGAACGTCAGGGGGTTCTTAAAAAAAGATTTGGAACCTACAAAATGATATTCACCCCCTGAGTTCTTCCATACTCGATCTTTGTTACCTCCTCCTCTCTAACAAATGACAAGAGCAAGAACGTTAAAGGAACAAAGATTTAACTTTGGTAATTTACGCGGAACCTAAAAATAAAAAACAGAGGATATACGATATTAGATAAAGACAGTAAGAGAGAGAGATATATCTGCCAGAGTTTGTTTCTCTGGAGAGAACACAAAAAAGTCCTCTTGAGTATATTTGGCTTACTTTCGTATAAAGCCAACTCATCATCAAATAATAATCTCAAGATCTTTTATTTTATTTTTATCTACGTAAAACTATGTTTACCATCTATTTTAAGCACATTTTTACGGTCTTGTAGTGTAAATGCATGTGAATTGTCTTCTTTGGATTCATCAAAAAGGTATCGTTTCCTTTGGATAAAATATAATTATTTATTGTAATTAACTTTGTCATCAACACCCACGGACCACGTTGATGTTTTGCCATAATTAAGCAATAGAAAAATGAAAAGACTCGACGTCGACGGTACAATAGATAATGCCAATATATATTAAAATTAAGGTAGAATAAGTTTGCATGTGAATACATACAAGTTGATATAATATGACTTATAAGTTTCAAACTTTTCCAAACAACACAACTAAAATGCCAAGTTCATGAAAGCTCTAAAATGGGGTTACCAATTTGCTGCTAAGACATTCTCGAAATTTGTAAAAGTATCAGATAAAGTCTTCTCCACATTACTCATCATTGTATTCGCTACAATCGCTTCAGTTACAATCGCCTGAAATCCAACCGACACAACACATCCAGCTTCTTCATCGCCTGAGTTTTGGCCGGGCATTATGGTGAATCCACACGGATAGGTAATGGAGAACGAACTATCACCGTTTATAATTTTCCGAAGAGATGACTCGTCAAGAATCGAGTGGATCACCATCGACGATGATGCCTCATTGTATGCTTCTTGAAGCAAAAACACCTCCGTAGAATTATTCAGCTGCATGCATTAACGTGTTAATAATGTTTATGTTAGTCAACAATATATATAACTCGTTTTTGGTTTTTCATAAGAAATAAAATTATCTACGTACCCGGAAACTGAATAGGGAGACGTCATTCCTCGGAGTAGTGTCGTCTCTTGTGATCCGAAGCACTTGTTTTAAACCATTTCCAGATAATCGTAAGTGGTTGAATATCTCTCGTTTCTTCACACCGTAGATGAAAGGAAATAGCATTTCCGGTTTAGCATGTATTTTAGCCAAACCGCTAGCGCTAATAATACCACAAGGGTGCCTTATCATGTCTGGACTCTCTCGAGTGAAAACTCTGACGTCAAACGTTCGACCCGCACCGAGCCGCCTCCATTGGTACCCGATTACCCCACACGTACCGGAGCAAAATAAGTGAACCATATGCCTTGATACTTCGAGCAAGTTGTCACGACCGGTCGAATTGACTACTGCGTGAGTACCATGCATGGTAGTTGTGTCAGTAAGAAAACGGTTAATCTGAACTAATCAAAAACAAAACAGAAAAGCTTTTACTACTTGAGACAAGTTGGTTCGTGATATCCATTAATGGAACATAAGTAGTTTTGGAGCAGTATCGTTGTAGAGCGACGAGCCATTTCTTTGCACCAAATCCTATACCATAAGAGAGGTAAGGCCTCAACCGGTTTAGAATTGCATCCTCCTTGTAAACCCAGTGTTCCAAAATTGTTACCTACGTATGTTTAACCGATTAAATTAAGTCTTCTCGCCAACATCAAATTAGATAATAATAATAATAATAATAAAAAGTACTGTACCTTTGAATATCCATTTGGAAGATGTTGAATAATAAATCCAGAAGGAAATCTGAGAAACTCAGGTCGTAAATCGTCTGAATAGGAGCTTAAATACATGGAGATATCTGCTATAATCCATGTATCATTTCCTATACGGTGACAATATCGGAGAACTTTTATTTTTCGGGTCGGAATTACCGGGGTGATTAATGTTAGAAACTCCATATCAATCTACATGTCCACAAACGAAAGCTATTATTAAAGATAAAATGAATATAATTGAAAATAATAGGATAAATACATTAATCGAAAAACATTTTATACCATCTTAACATCGTCGTTGCTTGATTCGATTGACACATTTCCAACGAGTGATGGGAAAATACTCACCCAACGCACCTAAAAAAAGTATAGATAGAAAAGAAAAATAAAATAAATCCTAATTCTAATATACATGTAATAAGAAATTAACATGATTCATTCTAGTTAGTTGTTCTTGAAGTTATACACTTACAGGATTTTCAAGTTTTCTCACAAGCCATGAAGCATCAACGCGGATTACTGCAGAAGCTCTTGACGCCTCATGGAAAAACCTTGGGACATTTTTTGCATACCAAGGAAAGAATTGAGAGTAGTACTCGTTCAGATTCAGCATCTCTATGTTTTCACATTGTGATCTACTCCACAAAGGAGACTCGGGCGTTGCCAAAGCAATAATTTCGTTGACTATACATGCCAAGACCCCCATTAAGTTAAGCGAGTACGAGGAAAAGTTGGGTAATTGTTGTCCCAAAAAATCCGATAACATTGTGAAGGAAGTGAGTGTCTCTCTGTCAGACCGCGAAAGAGCATTCTCGAACTGCCATGGTTCGGTTTGGTTGATGCTTTCATCTTCAGATATCAAATTTTCTTGAGATGCCATGGTCTACCTTAAGACTTAAGGGTAATTCGTGTGACAAACATATAGTAAGGAATTAAATTTTTTGAATAACATAGATATAGCTACATGGCCTGTCCTTGGATTTAAAGTTACTCGAACTCTAATTTACATAACACACAACCACTAGACTAAGCAAGTGTTTTAATAATGTGGCCTTAAAAACTGGCTTAAAACATATGTTTTGGCTGCTTTATGGGTGGACTGAGCCTGTATAACTACTTTTTTTTATTCTACTTAAGAACATGTGTGAATATGACAAAGTAGATCTTATCCTAATAATTTCAAATACGCTAATTACAAATGTATGTATAATTTTCTTTCCTTTTGTATAGATGTAAGATTCAAATATAATTACAAAAACAAAAAAAAAACAAAAAAATTGCAAAGGTTGGAGATTACTAATCAAAGCCTTTGAAAAAAGTTCATTTTAAAATTAGATATAGTAATAAATATTGGATCTATATATTTATTACAGATGCTTCTAATTTTTAAATTAAAAAATACAAATTATCAAAGATCAAGGAGATGAATGAAAAGTTGTCTATATTTTACTAACCTGTATCAAATATTTGCGATGCAAGAACTGGTGTCTTTGGTGAAGCGAACTACAAAGGGTCTGATTGGCGAGGATGCAAGAAGGAATAATTTTTTTTCTAAATCTACTGCAAAAAGGAGAAGTTTCTTTGTTATCCTTTTTTTTTTTTTGTCAAACAGTTTCTTTGTTATCCAAGATTTATTTTTCAATTAAAAAATTTTCATTACATAATAAAGAAAAAACTTGTATACTCTACATCGACAGAGCCAAAAATTAGTTGGTATTTATAGAAAATATAAACCGCGTGAAAATTCTCATATCAAAATTGCATATTTGTTTCTATGGTAGTACTCTTATGATCATTTAATTTGTACATTATTTTAGTAAATAAATTGTATCTAAGAAAATAGTTAGAACTTAGTTAACTTCATAAATAATAAAATAAGTGCGACCAGAAGACAAGAATGAATCAAGTAATTGAATAAAAATTGTAAAATGGTTTTGACATTTTTTTTTAGTCATGTTCAACGCATTAAATATACAATAAAGAAAGTTATGAACTTAATTCATTTTAGATCTTCTTTTTAGGTATTTAAAAGCTTCAAAGTAAATTATTACTCAAGTAATTATTTATCAAGTAAAACTTTAGAGCATCTTTATCCATAGTTTTTCAACATGAGTCTCTCACAATTGGAAATTTAAAGAAAGTAATACTTTGGAGAAAAAAAAAAGTAATACTTTATGGAGTGGGTATTTCAAATAGTAGAGAAATTCACTCAAAAAGTTAATCAACTCTTTCTCAATTATGAGAGACTCAAGTGAAAGACCATCAATAAATATGCTTTTAGTTCTTCATTGTTTTAATCTTTAAGTAATCATGGTGATGAATAAAAAGTAGATACATTAGAAAAGCAAACACATAACGGAACAAATTGAAAATAACATGATTTAAAAGTTGCATATGTCGTTGATATTTCCATTGTTGATTAACATTGCTTATCTTATGGCACTAACTAGAACATCATAGTGATTTTTAATTGCTTTAGATCTCTAAAACGATTTAAATAGTGGTAAACTGATCTTCATTTCGATTTCATGATAACACCAAATGTTAGGCTGTATTGTATATCCTCTACTCTATATATCGACAATTCGACATGCATTATGAATTGACATAATATCATTCTACGGTCTACAACGACCCTAACTAATCTTTTGACGTAATGATTAGTGATAAGATTTTTATCTCGTAAAATTTTGTTTTATTTATTTTTTAACTACCGTATCACATTATAATTTATAATCTTGCCAATGACCAAACACCGTTCCATAGAATATAGATGTAAATCTAATTGATGCATTAGTCATAGACTCATAGAAATAGTAAAAAAAAACGACATGGTCGTAGACCAATACTCTCACAGGTTAACAGTAACCGGAACCACAATATGGAATTGAAAATCATTCAACTCAAATTGCAGATCTTTTTTAGTTTGTCAAAATTGTACAACTTTCTGTTCATACATTCATCAAAAAAGTAAAATAAAAATTCGACGAATTATAGTTGGACACGTGTAAATATTCCGGTGACTTGCTCAAAAGTCTCTCGTATGCGTTTGCCGATCTTCTCGATTCTCCAATTCCAAACCCTATCATTTTGATTCGTCCTTCCGGGTTTCCACAACGCTGCGGTTAGATTTTGTCAATTTCGCTCTTTCTTGATTCATTTTTGTTTTCGGTAGCGAGAAATATCTGTATCGGAAAAAATATGAATCTGAGTTTGGTTTTTGGTTTGAAAGTTCTTCAATTTAGCTGATTAACTATAGATGAGGATGAAAAAATCCTTCCTTTTTGTATTTTTTCCATTTTGCTGATGAATTTTTTCGACCTGTGTTCTTAAAAAAAAAAACAGAGATTCGGTACAAATGATGTTGCGTGCTGTTATCAGGAGAGCTACCACTAAAGGCTCTTCTCCTTCGGTTAGTGATCAATTGTGATCTCATCTGGTACTTACTTGATCGAAATGTGACAACTTTATCTCTATATATTTTATCAGCTATTCGGAAAATCACTGCAATCTTCTCGTGTTGCTGCATCTTCCCCAAGCTTGCTAACAGGTTCAGAAACAGGGGTACGTTTTGTTTTTGTTCTCAATCGAGATGGTATTATATGGTTATGAATCTTATCATCCAATTTCTATGTATCTGTCTTTTTTCGATGAACAATCTAATTAAGTTTCATTTGAGAATCTGAACAGGCATTTCTGCATTGTGGAAATCATGCTCGTAGCTTTCATAACCTTGCTTTGCCAGGTTACTTTTTTATATGTGACTTTTGGGTTATTTTTAGTTTCTTAAGATTTTTGTGCTCTTATATGTTTGTATCCCTCTAGCAGGGAACTCGGGCATCTCGAGATCAGCGAGTTTAGTTTCCTCTACCCTGCAAAGATGGGTCAGGCCTTTTTCATCTGAAAGTGGTATGTATCTTCTACCTGAGCTCTTTCTCTCTCTTTTAGTTGAGGTATTAGGTTTGCCATATCTGGGAACCTATGATTGTTTAGAAGTAGAAATTCAGGAGCTCACAATTTTGACTCCATTCTGATGCAGATTCTTGTGAAACTTTAGTTTTGCAATCTGCTATTACTGTAGCTTTGATTGAATTTGTAGGGATTTCTCACTCGCTTTCTTTTTAATGTTACTGAAGGAGATACTGTGGAAGCTGTTGTGCCTCATATGGGGGAATCAATCACTGATGGCACCTTAGCCACCTTTCTGAAGAGTATGTCTCTTTTGCATTATCTTTTTCGGTTCTTTCTGATGCGTAAATATATATCTAAAAGTTCTTTTGTTGGTGCATCTGATGATTACCTTTCAGAACCTGGTGAGAGAGTCCAGGCTGATGAGGCTATTGCACAAATTGAAACTGATAAGGTATCAATATTTATTTTTTCTTGCTCTTTTATCTAAAGACATTTTGGAAAATTTTGAGTTAAAAATTTCAAATACTATCATTTGATATATCTTCTGCAATAGGTGACAATAGATATTGCTAGCCCAGCAAGTGGTGTAATCCAAGAGGTAAATATGTTTGCTAGTTGTGTTGTTTTATTTTCACTCGCTATTATTATTCTCTTGTTGGTGTCTCTATAGTTAGTCTTCACTGAGTAGACCTGTTTGGATTGGTCTTCTAATGCAGTTTCTAGTCAAGGAAGGAGATACTGTAGAACCAGGAACCAAGGTCGCTATTATATCAAAGTCTGAGGATGCTGCATCTCAGGCTACCCCCTCCCAGAAGATACCAGAGACAACTGATTCCAAACCTTCTCCTCCTGCTGAAGATAAGCAGAAGCCTAAAGTGGAAAGTGCTCCTGTAGCAGAGAAACCCAAGGCACCATCCTCACCACCTCCACCCAAACAGTCTGCTAAAGAACCGCAGCTTCCTCCTAAAGAAAGAGAAAGACGGGTATGCAAAATCTATCATTTTTCCTTGCTTCCGTCTGTAAATTTTAAAATGACTGTGGTCAGAGGTTAAATAAAGTTATGTTTGTTCCCTAATGAGAAGCTTTACAGTCACATGATTGGTGATATGACATCTGACAACACTGCAGGTTCCTATGACAAGACTTCGTAAACGGGTTGCAACAAGATTGAAAGACTCTCAAAATACTTTCGCATTGCTGACAACTTTCAATGAAGTTGATATGTGAGTAACAGCTTAAACCCGTCAAGTTGATATGTCTATATCAGTTATGCGAGTCCTTTTGGTGCACTGAATTATACTAGTCAGTTTGATTTTGCTTGCTAATTGTGGAGCTCTTTTCTTCGTGAAGGACAAATTTGATGAAGCTCCGGTCCCAATACAAGGATGCGTTTTATGAAAAACATGGAGTGAAGTTGGGGCTTATGTCTGGATTCATTAAAGTATGCAGTACCTACTTTTTTCTCGATGTTATTACAATTCCAGAGTTAAATGGTAAGAAATAAAACAATGTTCTTTGGTATCTGTCTCAGGCTGCTGTTAGTGCCCTCCAGCATCAACCAGTTGTAAATGCAGTTATCGATGGGGATGATATCATATACAGAGACTATGTGGATATCAGTATCGCTGTTGGTACCTCTAAGGTTAGTTCACATTCACGAGCTATCGTTGGTTTGTGCTAAATTTCATCCTTAATACATTCATGTATGTGAGGCTGAAATTTTCTTGTTGTGGTCTCTTTTCCAGGGACTTGTAGTACCAGTCATAAGAGGTGCTGATAAAATGAACTTTGCCGAGATAGAGAAGACGATAAACACACTTGCGAGGAAGGCAAATGAAGGAACCATATCCATAGATGAGATGGCTGGAGGATCATTCACCGTTTCAAATGGCGGTGTCTATGGAAGTCTCATAAGCACTCCGATCATTAACCCTCCTCAGGTTTAAATTTATTTCCCATCTCACCGGGTCTCAATCAGAACCACTTTTTTGTTTACAAACAGCAACCTGTGGTTTTGCAGTCTGCTATACTCGGTATGCACTCGATTGTGTCGCGTCCAATGGTTGTAGGAGGAAGCGTAGT